AGTTTATATCACTACATCAAGTAAAAAGGCAGTGAAGTGGAAGATGAAGAAAAGAAAATTCAGTCAGAAGAAATATAAAGTACGAGAAGAGAGAAAGGAAGAATGAGGAAATGGTGAGATTCGGTATAGCATTAAGATGAAGATAATGTATGTATATATCTGTGCCACTGACTTCGGTTCTGAGTCATATGATCACCTAGAGTCAATCTCCAACCTCTGGTTCCTCTTGTCCCATGGATCCCAACCAGCTAGTTTGCATCGCCCCACATTGTTCAAACCAACAGTCAGACTTTATACATTGGTGTCGTGTTTTAGTCTGGCCACCCCGAGCCTTTTTCCAGCCTGGACCTGCTTCGGCCAACGTTGTGTAACGAGTTAATCGGTGACTAGGCATACGTAACATGTGTCCTAACCATCTCAGTCGATGAAGGTTCACAACCTCATCAACTGGTTTACCTCTTCTCCCTAAAACTCTACGCCTGACGTCTGCGTTACTCACGTGTTGGCACCACGACACACCCTGGGCTATACTACGAAGGCAACAGTGGTCAAACACGTGAAGCCTTCTCATGTCTTCCACCTTGACTGGCTATGCTTTACAGCCATGCAGTAGAACAGAGCGAACTGATGCACAGTACATTCATCCCTTAATATCAGGGCGGCGCGACAGGTGGTGTAAGTTTGCAAAAGCTAGGCGAACCTTTTGTATTCGTGCAGAAATTTCATCGGCGACTGAGCTGCTAGGGCTTATCCTACTTCCCAGGTAAGTGAAGTGATCAACATAGTCAACCAGTACACTCTATTGTTAGTCGCGGTGGGGCACCGTTGAAGACCAATCCTGGAGCAGCATTTTGCATTTGGATGGTGAGAAACGCATCCCAAACATTCTAAAATCGCCACTCCAGAAGAGTCTGCATCTTGTCAGCGTCTTTACCTAACAGGACTATGTCATCTGCATATTGTAGGTCTGATGAAAATTCTCCTGTGATAAGGTCAACGTGTGTGTAATCAGGCGACGAGAGGGAAACCTCCATGAGAGAATATCTATGGTGAAATTGAATAAGAATGGAGAGAGCGGGAAGTCTTGATGGACACCATTCGACGAGTACAGCTCTCCGGATATCTCACCATAGGCTGTGACAAGCCAACAAGTTTTCGAGTAGAGAGGTTTGAATAAGGTGATGTACCTACTTGGCACACCCTCCACTGAGAGACATTGTGATAAGACTTTTCTATCAACGGAGTTGAATGCTGCCTTCAGGTCGAGAAATACAGTCATTATCGGGCTTCGGTAAACGTGCCTATATTCCAGAACCTGCCGCAGTGTGAATATTTGGTCGATACATCCGCGGCCAGGTCTAAATCCTGTCTGGTTTTCTCGAGCTTGTTGTTCCCGAGCCCCACCCAGGCATCGAAGGATTATAGAACTTAGAATCCTAAATACTATTTTCGTCAGGCTGATTCCTCTGTGGTTATCACAAGAGGACTTCTTGCCTTTCTTGAAGACTGGGGTAAGCAGTGATCTAGACCACTTAGATGGGATCGTATTTGATTCCAATATACTGGTTAACACTTCCGTTAACCTGACTAAGAGCACCTTACCATCATACTTGTATACCTCTGGCGTTAGGCCGTCTGTTCCTGACGCTCTTCCTCGTTCCAAGTCACCTACTGCTTTCTCAACTTCTCTTAGTGTTGGAGGATCTATCTCTTTTGTCCCATTCGGGATCCAACTGGATAGCGGGAAACGCAATGGTGGCTGGAGACCAGTCAGACTGTTCGTGGAAGTGTGCTACCCATCGTTCCAGTCGTCTCCTCTGCGAGTGAATCTCAAATCCGTCCTTCTCTGCTATAGCTTCACTAACTTTTGTTGACCTTTTCCCCCCAGTTTCCCTAATAAGTCTAAATAACTGTTTACTGTTACCAATCGCCTCCGCCTTTTCCATCTCTTTAGCCTTTGCTGTACACCACTGTTCGCGGTCGTTGCGCAGACTTTTTCTCAGTCTACTTTTAAGCTGTGCCCGCTCTTCATTGTACTCGGGGCCTGCAAGGATGCGTTCACGTGCATCCATTAGTTCGAAAGAAGCTGCCGATATCCACTGGCTCTTTTTTAGCGTCTCTTTCAGAGTTGGCTACGGTCTTCAGCGCTACTTTTACGGCAGACTGGAGACAGTACCAAGCTTCAAAAATGTCACATATATGACCTGTTACCAATTATCAAGGTTTTTCATCCAATGCATCCCATCGTTACATTTTTTATCATTATCATTTAACTATCCAAGGTAGCCATAGTTTAGCAGATTAGCATTTATACTGGGTGATGATTGAAGTTGAAATAAAAATTTGAACGACCGCCGGATTCGGACCAGTAACTGCCGGGTTTCCGACCCGATACTCTACCAACTGACCAACGAAGTTTGACTGCTGAGCAGATTCTTATTTTTCTTCAATCACCAGGATTTTTTTATTAACAGAGAAGATATTTGAAGAACCTAATCCACATACTTTGCTAGATAAAGTCAATAACCATGCAAGCATTGACTCATTTGTATGAACTATAAGCCATTAATTTCCATAAAAGCTGTAGTTTAGTCTAACAGCCTTGCCTCAATCTAATCTTCGTGACTACTCGTGCATATGGACTTAAGTGACAACCTGTCATTTATGGCACGTAAGTCATAGTAACTAATATCTCAGTTACTGTCTTTTCGGATTTTGATCATTTTAAAACTGCCAAGATAATTTCCTGAAATATCAGATGGTTTTTTTATGTATTCTAAATTTTTTCCTCTTTTCTGTTTACTCTGGATTGGCATCTCTAACCCTTTTCAAATCAATATTTTGTTTATTCTTGCAAAACACTTGAATGCAATTTATTTGAAACTGATAATGTTCCTATGTAAATATATTTTTTAAGTAGACTGTTAGTGCATGAAACTGCCATAAAAATCTGTGCAAAGTAAATATTTTGAGCGATCGTTCCTTCGTGGCATAGTGGGTAACGTCTTGGCGTTTGAAGCGATGGGTGCGAGGATCAAGTCTCACTGGGAACAACATCACTCATTGGGGTGCAGGTACATCCAGCTGACGAGTCCCAAACAGGACGGAATACAAGCTTTGGATTCTTCTACTAGCCACAATCAACCAAGTTGTCATAATTAACATTCAGGCAATATCGATGCATCTGCTTTGGAGCCCTCGTGCCAACAGAGGTCGGACAATTCGATCCAATAAAACAACAGAGAATAACAAGTATGCCAATAAATAGTAGTATTCCGAACCAAGTTTATGGAAAACCAGATTAAATGCTAGAATAGGATCAATAACTTTAAAGGTTATAAGTCCTTTGATTCACTGACTAAGATATAAAAGCTGACTTATGATGAGTTTCTACGTTCGCTGAACTTATCAAATAATATCACTGGCTGTTAAATAAATGACTTCTATAGATTATTTTGAGGGAGTTGTGGAGATTTGGAATTATTTCAAGTTGTTATTCATCGTAGACTGACATCAGTTGGAGGAACAAAGGAAACCTGGGAGCACTGGACAGCTGTTTTGTCCTAGTGTGGGACTCCTCAGCAGTGCGCACCCACGACCCCAGGTTTCCTTTGTTCCTCCAACTGATGTCAATCTACGATGAATAACAACTTCTATAGATTAATTTACAGGAATCCAAACAATGTTTTGCAACCTAATTTTCAGAAAAACTTGTCATGTGAAACAACTCGTTATCTATCTTGGTCCAGTTCATCAGACCTTAACTGTTACTGTACATACTGAAACTCAAGCCTGAAGGTTGTTGAAAAGCGGGATAAAAAGATTAGTGGTACTTCATAACTGATGAAGAGACAGAATTATAAATGACAATTCAAAAAAGTGACACATAGGCAGAATGGTAATTTTAGAGCTCATATAAGCTTAAAAAGATGATCTTTTCATTTTCGTGACTAGTAGTGGAACCCAAGATGAGAATTCCGTCCTATTTATGACTCATCAGCTTGGTGTACGTGGACCCGAGTGGCTGACGTTATTTCCACTGGGACTTGAATCTAGTACACACGGCTTCAAACGTCGCTGAGTTATCCTGTAGACCACTGAGACAAGGGAGTATTAGTTGTTGTTTATTGATATTTTTAATTTTTCGTTGCTATCCAGGGTCGAATTACTCCGTCTTCGTTGGCATATGGACTCCCATGTGGATGCAGGCACATCTAGCTGGCGTGTCCCGAATAGGACGAAACTCACGTCCTGGATTCGATTGCCAGTCATTACGAAGAATGCAACATCATGAATATCCGGCAGTATCGTGACATCAGCATAGGGGGCAACAGTGGTTCAACCATTCATTTATGTATCGCAACGGAAATAACAAGTATAAAAACCTAATAGGTTGGGTTTTTAAAACTTTTAATGCGCATTCGAGACTTTTTTTCATGTCAATTTTACACTTTATTTCAATGGCTCACTTCATAGTTTTACTATGCTTTTTAATGAAATAAATGATCCGACCTATGATACACAATACTAATTAACCAAAATGTAACACTTCAAAATCACTTTTTATATGATACAAAATAGAATTCTAAGACAATAATAAAATTTTCTCACTCTAACATAATAACACAGTTCATCGACTTCATGTAACCTTGTCAGTAACAGCTAACGTTATTGCATATACGTTTTCGCCCAACTAATGTCTTATGAAAATCATTTTCCACTTTAGTATAAATTGAGAGAAATTTAGAATCATAATTCAGTTACTTGCAACCGACAAGCTCAATCACTAATTAGTATAATATGAAGTCAGTGAAAGGTAGGTAGTCAGATTACGGGACTTCTAAATTCTAGACACGCTCGTTGAGACAAAAGTGAAGCAGAAATAGAAGGAAAGAGATTTTTGACCATTTTGCGTCCAACAAATTCTAGATGTATATTTATATAACTTTTGCAAGTAACTTCACAATACTTTACAATCTACATATTTAATTTCATTGTAGAATATTGCAGAAAAGGAGGTAAATCAATTTAGACGCTTTTCTACGCGTGAGAGTTCAATCTACATAAGAAGTAATAATGCTCACAATGATTCCATTAATTGTAGCAACACAGATAATCCTAACAATAAAGAAACAATAACTTCAAATTATAAGTTGAAATGGTTAAGAAGCCGTCGAAAACGACTTGAAAGTATACATCAGGAAAACTTGGAATTAAATAGATTTGATATAACTAGAGATTCTTCACACCATCAGCACCATCAGCAGAACAATGGACAAAAGGAACAACAACATTTAGAACAACGAATATCTTCTAATACTATTACATCGAATCCAACCAGCCCTGGATCTGGCAATGATACAACTACTACAAGTAATTGTTTACAAAGATATAATTCGCAAGGAAATATTTTACATAATCCCAATGAGTTAGTACGTGTTACTAGAGAATTGAAGAAAAAACGTTTACGATCTAAAGCCACTAAACTAGTTGTATTAGTTACCACATTATGGGGTGTATGTTGGTTGCCAACTCACATAATTAATTCATGGTTTTTTTTTGATGAAGCCAGTTTCCCATTTGTACCAGCTATGAAAATAGCTAAACTGTTATCACAAACTTTATCATTTGCTGCATCATGTGTAAATCCTGTTGTTTATAGTATATTAACTGGTTCATTTAAAACAGCCTTATCAAAGCGATTATTACGCTTTAAAAAGCGTAGTCGACATGAACGTAACAGAACGGAACTGCTCTATGTCACAGAATAATACAATCATTACTACTAATAAACATTATTAATAATAATGGTATTTAACAATTTTTTTACTACAAACTATTAGCTAAAAGATACAAGTATACTTGTTTTCATCATAAAAATAAAGTTGGGGAAAAGATTCTACAAACCAAATAATTTTTAAAGAAAAGAGAGATTTAAATATAGCTGAACAATACATTTGAATTCAATCATCTAATTAAAACAAATTACTTTCACAAGCATTTGGTAAAATAAATCCAATCATTCTTATCTCTTTTTTCTCCTTGTATGTGCTTACTTGAAGTCTTGAAAAATTCTTTTATTTCTTAATATAGATTGAAAATCAAACTACTTTATGATAATTTAGAAAATCACGAAAAGAAAAATACTCTTCAAATTATCTGTTTTATCATTCATACACCTGTACTATGTTCTTAACAATGATTGATATTATAAAGTGATCATGTCAATGTTTCTCCTAAACTGTACTTCTGCCTTCTAACACTTTGTACCATTTTCTGTTGAATATTATATGTAGTGACACTGATGTGATTATAAAATGTAAGTATGCTTAAAAATCATTTTCAGCATGAAAGAGTATCATTCATCTGGAATAAATAGTGTTCAGTCATTGTTTTTTCTTCTTCTTCTTCTTCTCATGGCGCAGAGAAATTCTTCTGACAAACTGAAAAATATATGGTAAATTTATTATAATTATTTTATTGTTTGTCCCTTGGGTTCCTAGTGGAACATAGGGCTTCGGTAGCACGTCTCCATTCCACTCTGTTCTCTTCAATCTTTTGAACCTGGCTCCATGACTGCCCACAAGCTTTCAATTCTTCCTCACACAATCTCTTCCATGTCACCCTCGGGCCTGACGCCCGACTCGCCGTTTCCTATCTGAGTTTAATACCGAGACTATATGGCACATCATGTATACCATTTTTGATTGTTATCACTTGGTATTTCATTTCATAAACCTATAAGTTTTCTTAAAAAACTGATTTACTCTGCGAACTACAACCTTCAGAAACACTGACCTTCTAAACTAGTTGAACTATGAACATTATGCTGATACCGTTATGCAATGAAACAATAACGTTTTGTAGATCCCTACTAATAAATTAATATTTTTTAGGTTATCAACATCTGCACAGCCTTCAACTGTTTCAATGCAACACCATCATCATAAAAGCATCTGTTGCTTATAAAAGAGACAAAAACAGAAATTTCCTACAGTTTAATCGTTTCAATGAATTTAGACACAGGAGAAGCTGAATATAAATATATGTGTAAAAATGAGTTTCTAAACATTCACTATCTTCAAGGAAGTATAAGATATCCATTGAAACTAAAGAGGGAGTTTTCGGCAAATGTCATATTAACACCCAGTGGAGGATAATTAAACAAATACATTAGTTCGATTGAGAGATTTGTGAAACACTATATGATTTTGAAACACTTTCCACAAATAAGTGATATCAGCTGTGAAACTACATACTTTAATAAACTATTTAGGTGACATCATCGATTATTTATTACTCTTTGGATTACTGAACTTATGTTAACTCCTAAATTTTAACAAGTAGTTGAATATCAACCTTTTTACATTATGAAGTATAATCGAATAAAAATAAGTGAGACACGCAGTCACTGTAGGAATGTCAAGTAAATCGTTAGTTAGAAGTTGAACTGAGTTAATATAAAAATCAAAGAAAACGTATTCTAAATGAACCGATTAAGTTTTCTGTAAACCACTAAAATTATCAATCTCAGCTTCCATAAATAAGTTGGAGATTATCAATCACATAAATAATTCGCATCATCATCAATAAATTCTATTCTCATAGGCATATGTTTTCGTATTCTCAGTCAAGATACTATTGAAACAAGTGTCTGGAAAATGCCGCATATACTTTATATGAACTATGATCAAGATTTTGCCGAATAATATCATCAATATTGGGGTCTGAGCAAAAGATTGACACTAGATATAGTTTGTATTTGTATAACTTACATCATGTTTGTAATGAAATAATTCCAACTTTTCACAAAGAAGTCTGGTTCCAGTTACTTCAGGGAAATAATCAGAATTAAAATTTTTGTTGTTGATCATTTTCCTGGAGAAGCCAGAACTATTTGAAATACTGTGTGACTAAAACAAATACAAACTATATCTTATGTCAACATATATACTGTCTTAAAAAACCTTTTGAAAACCTTTATATGCATGATTGGATGAAATAAATTAGTGTGAACAATCTAAATTCAAGCTAATATTCATCACAGACTGATATTATATCAACTACCCTTGTAAAAGAACACTATTGATGAAATACCACAATACAATACAATGGAACCACTTCTATCAGTGTTATCATTAGCATATTCAGTAACCCACAACGAAAGTTTGTGTTTTTCAATATACCTGTATAATAAATTAAATTTCATACCTAATTATGTCGGCTGGATTAAAATATAAAAAGACAGTGATAACTAGTGTACAAATTTCAATGAACTTATCATTGTGTGTTAAAGAAGCGAAACATTCCAAATTTCAAAAATGAATTATTAAGTGATTGCAGGTTTCAGCTGTAAGTTATAAATGTGGGATGCAAGCAAACATCAGTTTCATCCACTTACACAAGCTGTATGTTTTGATGAACAACGAAAGAATGATAAAACAATTTAAAATACCCACCAGCGGACAAGTTGGTACATAGTGTGATCTCAAACATGTACATATTAGTGTAAACTGAGAACCAACAACATTTAACATCACTGTGGCATAAAGGTGTCACAAATGTTTAGTAGCTCCAATGTAAATTCATTCAATTGGTGTAATTTTAACCAGAAATGGAAGTATTCATGAACAATGTTCATGAATTAATAGCTAAAAGGACCCGAGGATCCTGAAGAAGAAGAAGATAGTTTGGTAGATTCTGTTTTACCTGTATAAGTGAGCTCAATTAACTTTGGTGCAGCAATTAAATCAACTATTATCGTAAGAGATCTATAATTGAGAAAGACTGTAATAAAACTGTAGTGATATAAAGAAGTATGCATGAAACTTTAATCAAAAAGCTAGTGCAGTCAGGTAGAAGGGATGCCAAAAGCTACATTTCACTGCGTGTAAAGCATCAAGCGAAAAGTTAGTGAGCATTAAAGTCAGATGTAAACTAAATTTTTGGAAATTTAAAAGATCACTGCAAAGTAACGAATCTGATGTTACCTAGTCCTGACCGAATTGTATCGATTATTTTGCAAAGTGTTCATCAAGTTAGGACGCTCATCATCATTTCAGTCGAGGTTGCAGATACGCCTTGCTGACGAGTACTAACAAGCACTAAATCTATGTCATTATGAGCTTCTCGCTGATTATTTAGAACCAGCTAATTAAGTTGAGTGGATTTTCAACTACTTATTGCTTCATAATGTGAAACAAGGTTGAATTTTATCCTATATTTGATAAATTATCCGCTAATTCAACACTTCAAAACAGCCAACCAACATGATATACCACACATACATGATGGATCACCAAAGCGAAAGTGATTTACAGCATATCAAGCAATTTAAGTTATTTAACCAGGATCTGAACAGGAAGACACCTCTATATGGAAATATTTTTCAGGCTATCCGATAAAGAGTAACAATATGCTTGGTAAATACAAGATAGTAATACTTATTAGTGGTCGGGAGAAAAATGTAAACACAGCGCTTTTCACGACATTAAAATGAACCAATGTAACATTATTAACTTGTACTTTAAGATGAGTTGAAAGTACCCAAATATTTCAGGTGGTATCCCAACAGAAGCCATTTAAATAACTACTTTGAGACACGAACAAAGAAATTCTAAAATTTAGCCCTACTTTTTATATACTATAATTGTCAGTGTTACATTTTTAAGAGAAAAGCTTGAGATTGTCGTCTGTCTGATGGCTAGCAATGGAATCCAGGGTGCTCGCCTTTTCCTATTTGAGGCTTGTCAGCCTGATGTATTTGCACGCCAGTGAGTGATATTGTTTCCCCCTGAGACTAGAACAAATAACTCATCTCTTCAAATGCTTAAGCACTATCCACTAAGCCAGTGGAGCATACGATCCACCTCTTGTATCGTTTGATACTTGTAATCTGTTGCTGTTATACTGGATCAGAGGGATGGGTATTGAGTTCGAGTCCAAGTGGGAACAACATCACTAAACAGCATGCAAATACATTCAGCTGATGAGTGACAAATAGGACGAGGCGAGCACCGAAGATTCCACTCCTAACCACCAAGCGGACTAGAAAATAATGAATAATCAAGCAGCATCGAGGTATCCTCCTAAAACCTTATATGCCAACAGAGGTCGAGGAATTCGATCCAATACACCAGCAGGAGATTAAAAGTATCGAACAACAACTCGGGATTGCGTTTATCGATTATCACTGACGTTAAAAATTTTTATTCTACTCAAAATGATTTCAGAAACATTTTGCTGCTAATTAGCCAGCATGTGATTAAAATGAATAAAGTTTATAATGTAGAATTTTATTGTTCAGATGAACGAAAAAGCAGCATAAATTTGTTGAAATCTTGCTTTATAACTTGAAACATGAAGATTATCCAAAAAATTGTGATCATGTGTTGAGCTATATGCTGACAAAATTTAACATAAAAATTTATACTACTATTGGTAGTATGGTTCTAAACGAGAATTAGAACATTACTGTTACACTAACTTCAGTAGGTCATAAACGATACAACACATTCTCACCACTCATTAATTTCTTGTCAACTGTATGCAGACAACGAAACTCCCAAAAGTAAATACAAAGGAGAGACTTTTGGACACCCCTATGATAAAAATGGGAATATGAGAGTGAACATTTTATACCGAGGTTAGACGTAACACCACATAGCTCACAAAGTAACAAGCACAAATTGCTACTCACAATCCCATTTAAGCAATTACACAAGCGAGCTTCGAAATCAGACTTTTGTACTTCCGGTAATTTGTATTATTTGCTTTCAGTAGCAGTAAAATTTTACATATCATTACAATAGGTCATGCGTCATTCCAGGCACATGAATTGGGAATTGTTTCGATGAGAAAGATGTAGTAATCCAATCTCTCCATTTAACGACACCGACCTTGAGTGAAGTTGCCTTATTCTACTCCAGTTTATGACTGTGTGTTAGTGCATGCAGAGCAAAAGCCGAGTTTTTCTGAAGATAGTTGATCGCAATGGAGGTATATCATTCTAAATTTTTGCTAGTTTCTTAAGCTTCGATAACCCCATAATCCTTACGTGGTGCTGGGTAAATCAAATTACTTTATCTAACCAGATCAGTATAATCCTGAGGATTAAAATGATTATCTACAGTTAGTACATAGTTTTAAACGCCACCGTAATTCTAGCATTGTTGAGAATTCTGCACACCTCATGCAGTAATAAATTAAAAGCCTTAAATTCCCTTCTATCTGTATTACAGTAGCTGTTAACTACACTACCACTTTCTCTTCTGTTAAAATGATCAATCTGTGGAAAACAGATTTATTGCTTCCAGGTTCTCACGCACTGCTTAGTAAACTCAAGAGTATAACTATTAAATATTAGTCTATCTTTGTGCTCTGATTCGATTCATTTTTCAGCTCTAATACCAGATTATCAACACGTTTTATTTCCCGAAATTTAATCGTTGTACAACACTTTTGAAGTCTATTCGCAGTGATAATGGTTATCAATAGATTACAAATAATAATAATACTGCTTAAATACCTAATGACCGCAAGGTTATGACTTCATTAAAAATGTTTATGACTGATTGGTACAGAATATCAACACATTCGTTTAACAGAATACCTGGTATGCTATCTGATCTTAAATTAATTGAAAGTCTTACTGATTTTAAGCATTTAGGAAAGCCGCTTTCCGTTACATAGACAGAACTACATAAGCTAACGTTAGTATGGCTTATATGTGAATGAGTTATTTAGAATACAGGTGTTTTTTTCAGGCTTCATTATCGAGTTTTCTCCTGCCAGTAAGATATTTAAGCAGTCTCCTTTTACTAAAGAGATTTCTACATGACATAATTATACACGTGATTATACACGCGTTTGTCATACAATTTAAACAGTTTTTATTTTCTACTTCACAGTCGCTTTAATTCCAGTGAAAAAAGTCTATCAAATGTTCGTAAAAGTTTTGCAGCTGGGCAGAAAGTAATAATTTAAGACCATGTGTAACAGCATCGATATTCTTGTCTAATACATCGATTTCATGCTTCTTAGTTTGAGTATACTGTAGTGTGTATAGCTGTCGTATATAAGCTTTTTAGATTGGTATGAAATTGTACTTTTCAGTAGTTTGTCACATACTTTTGAAAGGACTTGTTTATCACAACGATCTGAGTTAAGCGATGGTGCTGTTTTCCGAGATACAATATATGCTAAGTTAATTAACAGAAACCAAGTGTAATCTGGAATCAAGGCGAGCTTAAAAGCCTACCACGTTTACAGTCATAAGAGCTAAAATCGACTCACACTGTGGATACTGAACCAAAGATTACAGAAGTTACAGATTCCATGAATCTGTCTGAGAATCCAGATAATTCAGAGTAACTCCAACCAGGGGTCATACAAAAATTGATGATCTTAATGAATTCATAGTTAACTAAATGTTTGAAACTTAACAGTAATACAACCAATAACGTCAGTAGAATAACTAAAACACATGTAATTCGATAAGCACCACTGAATTTCAATATAGGTAGCTACACCTCAAACACACTTTTTGGTAGAACATTTTGAAACCATTCAAAGAGAACAAATTCTCGTCATATAGATTGTGAAACCAAGTTTCTTGTATACTAACATTTCGGTAAAGATTACAACATTTTCCATGTTATAATTAGTCCGTACTACCCAGTAGCTATCTGCAGTTCAAGTTGAGTATTACGGGTAGTGTCATTTGATGTGGCTTTGTTTTTCTTAAAACCTGCTGACATTCATTACATTTATCGAATTCAAAGTGATAGGTTGAAAATTTTTCGAAAATTTGTGTATCTAATACTATTCCAAGAAAATATTTGCATAACTAAAGTGAAATGAAACAAAGTTAACTTGATGCAATATATATGATTGAAAAATTTAGCAGCCCAGAGGTTTAAGAAGGCTACCTATTGAGTTAATATTGGATGTGACAATCTGAAGTCACAATATCTACCACGATGTGTTGATTTTTCGTGGACTGTTGTGTTTTAACAACAATTTGTTGTTGTTACTCTATAGTTCAAAATAAAATAATGCCCATTGTTCATTTTTTAACGCATCAAACAAAATACTGTTATAGATGAATATCTAAAGAGTAGGAGTAAACAACCATAAAGCATATGTTCTCAACTATCCATAAATATGTCTACTATGACTGAGGATATCGGTGAACCCATTACCCATTCATCTTTTTATTTCTAAACTTCATGTCACTGAAGATTAGAAACAATAACTCAACCTACATAACGTCTTCACTCGTTACCTTAGTTTTGAATCAATATCTAACACATTTCTGACTTCATCTGGTGTCATACTGACTGATAAATTAGTAAAAAAAACCTTGTTATAGTAAAAAAGATGATCACCCTTTTAATAGTAGGGTAAATACTATTGAAATTATTGGTTTAAAGCATTTGACTAGACTTCTTAGATTGATCAAAAGTGACTTCATTCGGAGAATCATTTCGTCCATCGATTTCTTATTTATGACACCGTTTACAGATTTATATGCTTTACACATGGCTTTGTTTGAATATAATCGCCTATTTCCTTGAAGTAAAATGATTTGTTCATGAGAACATCCAAGTTACTTTTATACGAAGGTTTATGGAGATTTTATTGACTTCATGTTTCTATTCATCACGGATTGACATTAGGTGAAAATCGAAAACCTGGGAGCATTGGACAGCTGTTTCGTCTCAATAAGGGACTCAGCAGTGCGCATGAACGACCACCAGGAATCGAACTCAGGAACAAAGTTCGCACCGAGCATGTTACCATTGAGCTAGTGTATAGGAATTCAGTGGTCCATATTTCTTACGATATAGCGCGACCTCAATTTGAGGTTGACAATACAACTATCATTTCCTAAGTTATTCAGAACATATGCTTCTAGTTTTGTTTCAACCCGTATTCTCTTGCGCTTCCAGTGTCATACACACTGTTCTAACTTGCTTAGTGGTCGTCTCATCTGCTGAGATTAACAGAACACAGAAACATGATAAAATTTAGAATGATGTGCCATCACTGTAATCAATTATCTCCCAAAACTATCAGCTACTGCAATGAATGTACCGATACAGTCAAAGGAGAAAGTAAATTTACTCAAAATCAGCATAGTCAAGAAGAGAAAAATATCAACTATCCAGGAGCCATTCATTGAAACCTTAGCTATACGAATGATCAAACCCCTACGGTGTATTCAAAAACAGTTTGTCCTTACCTTAAACCTACCTAGGAAATCTTTATCTCATTTTAATGCCAAGTGAGGTATGAAAATGTATTATTCCTTTTTATTGTCTCCATATTTTCCAAACCCTGTATTATCTTTATTTATTCATGTTACCCTACCCTATTTTCATCCTTTATATAAGATGCTTTGACAAGTTAGTGTGTAATAAGATTGTTAGAAATGTATTGCGCGCATACATCACATTCCTTAGATAATCTCCATCTTCTTATTATACCATACAAATTCATCACATTGTTTCAAAAACTATATATGTCAATACTCTAGATTGTAAGCATTTGATAATATGCCAATGAAATCAAATGGATTTATTTGCAACCTCCTTCAATTGCTATTTTCGCTCCTTCTACAATGACATTTTTCAAATGTATATTCAAATTGGCATAGGCAGATACAAAGTTTCACATCTATTTTATGACCATTTCATTTTTCAGGTCTGTACAACGTGAAATCACCCTTATTTCCAAGCTTGGTAATCTCTACTCGAATAAATGCACTGATCAATTGCATCTCCCAAGCATAATAATTACATTGAATCAAACTCTCAGAATATTTAGCTTTGATCAGTAATTTTATACAGTAGATAAATACGGGAACCAAAAGATATGATTGCAAGCGAATATTCTTTGTTAAACATTCAAATTTTCGGCTTGCCATAAAAAAAATCTACAAATGGCAAAATAAATATACTTGATAAGAAGTAGATGGAATAAAGTTACAGTTGAGTAAAGAGTATCAAAAGAAAGAAGTTGCTTTATTTGATATACCCTTATAATTTCTTCGAACCGAATTTCAGGCCAAGTTAAATTGTAAACTAAAAGTAGGAAAATGTTAAAATCAGTAAGAAAAACAATCTAGCACAATAATTAAACTAAGCCTCTTGCTCAGATGGCCAGAAAGAATAACCAACAAGCAACTCACTCTGGCAACGAACCAACTAACAACCTATCGCTCAACAACTATATAGAAGGAAGTGGGGATGGATTGGATATGCGATGAGAAGGCCGACTGGCGACACCACGCTCCAGGCCAGGCCGTCGAGTGGAACCCAGATGGGAGGCGACGAGTTAAGCGTTCGAGGGTGACATGGAGGAGATTGTGTGAGGAAGGAATCAGAGCTTGTGGGTAGTCGTTGAGCCAGGTTCAAAAGATTGAAGAGAACAGAGTGAAATGGAGACGTGCTACCGAAGCCCTATATTCCACTAGGAACACAAGGGACAAATAATAACAATATTATAATAATCTTGCTCATTAGAACTCAACAAGAAGCATCTGCAATCCTAATAAGATGTATACTAATAATAATATTTATAAACCTATTGTCTTTGAAACCCAACATATGCAGAGAGTCCATCTGCATATAAGCGAAACATATTGATTCCAGAGTGACACATCTACCCAAATAATTGACTTAGAGAACTGAATCCACCTCGTTTTTAAGGTATGTAAAACGCTTGAAAATCAGATAATCGAATAATATAAAAAGTCAAACTCTATACAAATTTGCTTCGATCACCTTTGTAACGCGGATGTATACAAAATCTATCCAATGAATTAAAATACGGCAGTATTTAACTGAAACTCGATGCCAGCGATATAACCGCTAAAAATGAGAGGATAGTGTTAGGAGTTAATGTTAAATCCTTGATACGAATAGCAAAAAAATGTACGATAAAGACTTTTCAGAACCCTGAATATATGAATCCTAAACAAACCCCTTGTTCAGCATGAAGAAAGACAATGCAGAAACAAGTTTATTGTGTTGATAATTTTGCTTTCTTAACTCCTTACAAAAATTCTAATTCCATAAAGTATTAAAAGAACAAGAAATCAACAAAAGTATATTTCATGAGGTATAGAATATGTATGCATATATACATCAAGACCAATGGAAATGATGAAAGTCAAATTGTTCATATCGGGTTAGATACTCGACCAAGTCTAGAATGAACTGAAGCACCACCTTTCACTGGTCTGTTACCTGAAAAGTATGTGAGAAAAGAAAAATATACTCGTAGAAAAGACAACAGACCACTTGGATAATAAAAAAAATAAATACAGAGGACGGAATCCAAGGGATTACCCTACACGATCGCCTAGGCAAACAAACCAAAATCTAAGGGTTGGGAAACTAACTTTGGCTTCGAAACTACAAGTTCAGGTGTATTTGTGAAATTTCTGCAGATAACTATGGTCCAATTATATATATAATAGAAATGGCAATCAACATTTTTGTGACTAGTTTCTGCTACCCGCATAGTAGATATACATTCTTCTTGATAAAATCTTGTGAAGAACAAACCACAATACAAGATGAAGTGAATCCATTTCACTGAAAGCATCCTAAACCTCTCAAACATGTTGTACGGGAAGTTTGTGAAGAGTACACAAACGAAACAAAAACGCTTTTAGATTGCAATTTATCATGGACTGACATCAGTTGGAGGAACATTGGAAACCTGTGAGCACTGGACGGCTGTTTTGTCTCAGTATTGGACCCCTCAGTATGATTCCTAACGGAGTCATAGGTGCGCACTGCTGAGTCCCATACTAGGACAAAACAGGTGTCCAGTGTCTACACATCTTCAATTTTCCTCCAACTGATGTCAGTCCATGATGGATTCCAACCTAAAAAGCTTTTAGCTAACAAGCTGAAATTTAGATGTTATCGGTAGACTACTCATGAGTAGACACATAAACACTTGGAAACTTGTTTACTGATAAAGTAAAGAGTTGGGCAGATGCTTAAAATCCAAGTCTGTCTCTTAATAAACTTTAGTAGACAGGAGTTTGTGACAGAACCTAACAAGAGTTAGGCTACTAAGTATAGTAGGTAATTACGCTAACTAAGAAAGTCTGGATTGAAAGATTCTTGCAGTAAACAATAAATCATGCAAGATAAACGGCGTTAGAGAGTCGCTTGGCATGCGAATTCTACAAGACATGTATATAATAATATGCTATTGAAGAAAATGAATAGCAGAATAGTATACTAAGATTAGAATTGATGGTGCCTGTTTATATTTGAAATTCCTCCATTTTTTAATAGATTATTTCCTTAAAACGAATGGTTATCAACATGTTCTTAACCACCTCTTTGGTTTACCTTCAATAGTGTGACCAATTGAATTCAGCATTTCTTGGCATCAATAAGAAGTGTTTGACACTCATTGGATTTTGAAATGATTTTCTGACTACAAGATTTATCGTTCCATTCTAAATTCCGTTTATAGAGCACATTCTAAGTACTTATAGCTGTATAAATTTAGATACCTGAACACGGAATCAGATGTTACCAATATAACACAGACATCATTTCGAGTATTGAGGCTTAACAGAACTTACCAGATAATATGCAATTGAGATAGTTTTTTTAAGCTTCAGTGTTCAAGCGTTTAACTCAACTGCTTTATTTATCACAATAATTGTTAATCCTCTGTGTAGAATCCTATATCATCTGAACAAGTTAGAAATGGACCACTATACGAACGATTTGCCTACCAATTTGAATATAGTTACACAGCCTTAATATAATAAAGTCGTTATACAGAACTGACAAAAGTAATGAAGTAAAAATGAAACACTTCTGTGAAATTCATATGACTTATAATATGCTTAAATCTGTAACACCAAACGGAAAATCCACTCTTAGCAGCGAAAAATAAACATGAACATTAAATTTTTTTTTTAATCAAAGATAGATAGTGATTAGAAGCGGAATCCAGATTATACGTTTCATCAAACGCTAGGGAGTTATCCATTAAGCCACTGAGTTACGATAGCCATTTCCTGTGTAATGGATACAGTTTTTTCTTAACGTTGTTGCTTGTATTATCCCCTTTGCTGATTGCTACTATCCATCACTCATATAAAATTGAAACATAGGCAATATATCAAGATATTCGAACAAGAGTTCATATACCGATAGAAATCGATCACTTCAGTTCAATCAACGACAAGATAATACAAATAACAACATAACATTAAAATTTGTTTGAAAGAGTAAATTGATGCTGTGACACTGAAACACCATTTACAATGATCTGTCCAATCATTTAGTGACTCTAATTTCAATGAGTAACACATAAATCACAGCTTAAGATATGCAACTAGAAGGTTCTAACAGTTCAAATATCAAAATGAAATCATCTAAGCAAGTACACTCATCAACGGAAAAGTATTTTTAAAAAATGCTACACTCATTACATCATAGAAACAATTAAATGAATGTAACTAAATAATAGTAAAAAGATTATAACAGTGAAATAGAACGTGATAAGTATTCAATGTTATTAGCATGTACATTCATGTACATATACATTAGCATGTACAAAAAAAAAAAGAAAATCATTTACCCAAACGATTCTTCACAGAAATTTTTGGTATATATCCTTGGCCAAAAACACCTTCAGAATAAGATTGAGGAGAATTTTTCATAGAATTTGTTACAACTGAATCATTTTTAAATTTAGGCGATTGTACTCTAGATTTTTTAAGAACTCCTTTATAAGAAAGTTGATCATTATCCGGTTGAATAATAGTGGAAGGTGAACTTAGACGATTGAAAACTGTATCAGAAGCCTGTAATACAATATATATTTCAGAAGTAGAAGTTAAAAAAAAATAATAATAACACTTAAAGAAGTATTGCCTTCAGTCTTCATCAACTAAGTAGACTTACTAATCATTCAATTTGTTCACAGTATTCATGGGACTCTCTATCTTTACACACTTATGAATACTGGATAGAATATGAAGCAGAGTAATATATTTCCTATCACCTTGGTCTGGACAGCCAAACATCAAATGCCATCTTATATAAAGTGTAGAATATAAGCTATAACATAAATACCTGTACCACATCCACCTGTATTCTCCGTCTTATACAACCCTTTACCATTATTTTCTAAAAAGCTTCCTTTGAAATGTACGAATATGGTGTCGTATGTCGCATAGATGTTTGAATAACTAATTTTGACCATAACACTGTGCCACCTAAATATAAATTTAAGGTTGTGATCATATATCCCCAGTTAAACGTATTGCCTTGGATTATTCAATAAACAACTTCTAAGAGAAATCAAATCAAGTTAATAATACGATAAACAGATCTCTATGGAAATGTATAGGAAATTCAGATAAGGAATACAAGCCTTTCAAGTCCACATAACTGGTTTGTAACACAGTATTCTAGGATGAATAATTGTTTGCATGTAAGGTATTTGAGTTCAAAGCTACAGATATATTATCATTTCGGTGAACGAGGTAACGTGCCAAGTCTCAGTAACCAAAAGTTACTAAAATGGTGAAGGGAATTAAGGCAAATAGCTATCAGCTTACGGTCAACAGATAAAAGTCAAAAATGAAAGTTGTCAAAACTAACATTGTGTATGTAACAGTCATAACTGATAACAGGTGACAAAAAACCCGTGATTAAAGTACTGATTACCCAAAGTACTTATGAATTTTACTTGATGTTGAAGAACTATACGGTAAGTGATGAAATATATCCTTTTTATGATTTGGTTTTCAACTTTTCTCCCCTTTTTCAATAGAAGTGATTCACTAACATGAGTCTAAAAAGTTCTTGAAAACGAGGTACGCGAAAAGTTTTTAAACATCCATAAGAAAAAAAATATTTAAAAAAAAAATGAATGCTTACATGCCGTTTAAGAGCTCTCTTTACTTTGATCGGTGGAGGAAAAGTGCTCACCGGTGTACAAACTTGTCTGACAACTTTAAAGTCCATGGACTCTTCTGGTGAGCTAAACGTGTCTCCAGGCGACGTTAAAGCACGAAAAGATGGACAAAAACTATCTTCACTAAGGTTCCAACGAATCAAACGTTGCACAGTACATAGAGGATCTGTTCTTTTAATAAGAACACTTGTAGGAGATTCTTGTCTATTTATGGTGTTACCTAAGCGATTGAATACTGAATCACCAGAATTAGGATTAGTGTTGCTCGGTCTAACAGAAAAAGTAAAAATAAAGAAATAGATTTCCTTATTGAATCGACAACAAAAGTGTAGTAAAAAATTGAGTAAATTAATCAGAAACAAGCCTCTAAGTTACCCCATTGAAACTATCAATCAGGACTAAAAATAGAGATATTATACATGAAGCAAACAAATTTACTCTATAGTATTGCTCCCATATTACCAACTACAAGATAATCTACGCATTTGAGCTATTGACTGATAAGCGGAGAAAAATTGCACGAATTCTAATGGAACTATTTACCGAGACTAAAATATGTGAACCTTGTAAGAACACAGAGACCAATGTCGAGATCTTCGGTGGAATATTTCGACCATTTCACTTACTTGGACACTTGCATTAGACTAAACAGGCTAGTTGCCGACAAAATCTCAGATCGGATACAAAAGGCACGTTTTGCATTCATCAACTGGCGTCATCTGTAATGTCCACTGGCGAGATATTCAACTACCTATCAAATGGCAATTATACTGTGGTGAAGTACGTTCTGTCTTGTTATACGGTTGTGAGATATGGCCGTTAAAAGTAGAAGACATGAAGCAGATACAGAGTTTTATTCATACGTGTCTTTGTAGCATTACTGGGGTTTAGTGAAATTGCCGTGTGAGCAATGTTGGCGTCAGGTGAAGGACATTAAGCAAGAAAGGCAAGTCGGTTGATGAGGCTATGAACCTTAGTCTACTGAGATGGAATGGACTTGTACTGCGCATGTCACTGTGACCCACTGCCTACCTCGACGTGCTATGCTAGGGGAAGCTGGATTAGGTTGGAATAGGACTCAGGGTGACCAGGCTAAGGAGTGGCACCAGTCGATGAAGTCTCTTACTGCTGCTCTGAGTCGTGTGAGAAGTAGACTCTCTGGTTGGGGTTCCCGAGATGATAGGGATCAGTGGTTGAGGACTCTTGGTGACGTAGGTGAAAATCGGTCACAACGGCGCAGATGCATTCACTCCTTTGCTTCTTCTAAAGCTTGAATATTCACACTATCCTTCATCTTTAAATTATTTATTCTCTCACAATACTTTATCTATCCTGATATCACTACTTTTCTATCCACCAGTTCTCCTGTGAAGTGTGAGCCGATGTAATCCTGTGCAAGGTTCTACGTTGATTTTGTCGGTCGTGATGGAACCTCTGGTTTCAAGAGCAATAAAATAGATCCCCTTTTGAAAGTAATCTAATAAGCATCAAAAATAATATGAAAGTACAGTACTTAATCTTTTGACATGCCAGGTTCTGGAACACGTTTACCGAAGCCCGATAATGACTGTATTTCCCGACCTGAAGGCAGCATTCAACTCCGTTGATAGAAAAGTCTTATCACAATGTCTCTCAGTGGAAGGTGTGCCAAGTAGGTACATCACCTTATTCAAACCTCTCTACTCGAAAACTTGTTGGCTTGTCACAGCCTATGGTGAGATATCCGGAGAGCTGTACTCGTCGAATGGTGTCCATCAAGACTTCCCGCTCTCTCCATTCTTATTCAATTTCACCATAGATATTCTCTCATGGAGGTTTCCCTCTCGTCGCCTGATTACACACACGTTGACCTTATCACAGGAGAATTTTCACCAGACCTACAATATGCAGATGACATAGTCCTGTTAGGTAAAGACGCTGACAAGATGCAGACTCTTCTGGAGTGGCGATTTTAGAATGTTTGGGATGCGTTTCTCACCATCCAAATGCAAAATGCTGCTCCAGGATTGGTCTTCAACGGTGCCCCACCGCGACTAACAATAGAGTGTACTGGTTGACTATGTTGATCACTTCACTTACCTGGGAAGTAGGATAAGCCCTAGCAGCTCAGTCGCCGATGAAATTTCTGCACGAATACAAAAGGTTCGCCTAGCTTTTGCAAACTTACACCACCTGTCGCGCCGCCCTGATATCCGATTGTCTATTAAGGGATGAATGTACTGTGCAGCAGTTCGCTCTGTTCTACTGTATGGCTGTAAAGCATAGCCAGTCAAGGTGGAAGACATGAGAAGGCTTCACGTGTTTGACCACCGTTGCCTTCGTAGTATAGCCCAGGGTGTGTCGTGGTGCCAACACGTGAGTAACGCAGACGTCAGGCGTAAAGTTTTAGGGAGAAGAGGTAAACCAGTTGATGAGGTTGTGAACCTTCATCGACTGAGACGGTTAAGACACGTGTTGCGTATGCCTACTCACCGATTACCTCGTCACACAAAGTTGGCCGAAGCACGTCCAGGCTGGAAAAAGGCTCGGGGTGGTCAGACTAAAACACGACACCAATGTATAAAGTCTGACTGTTGGTTTGAACAATGTGGGGCGATGCAAACTAGCTGGTTGGGGTCCATGGGACAAGAGGAACCAGAGGTTGGAGACTGACTCTAGGTGATCATATGACTCAGAACCGAAGTCAGTGGCGCAGATATATACATACATTATCTTCATCTTAATGATATACCGAATCTCACCATTTCCTCATTCTTCCTTTCTCTCTTTTCGCACTTTATATTTCTTCTGACTGAATTTTCTTTTCTTCATCTTCCACTTCACTGCCTTTTTACTTGATGTAGTGATATAAGCTGTGGCAACTCGGACCATTACGCAGTAATTCGTGCTCCTATGTTGATGGATGATGATACATTTTTATATTTTACTATTGTACACTTATTTATTCCCCGTATTGTTACACCCTTCCGTTAGTTTATTTTACTGTTTCACAATGCTCAACAAACTCTCGTGGTTACAACTTAAGTTAGTGGAATACTGACCTAACTCGGAGTACTCTCGGAATTTACTTACTAGCTAGGATAACTCACAGCCTAACAAACGATATGTAATACATTCTTTATAAGTTAATAATGTTCCAATGTAGTTAGAATTGCCCACTTTCTAACGTTACCAAGGAAGATTGTGTTGCAACATATGTGGCAGAATTATTTGGCGGTTGGAATCTACTACTACAGTATAGGAGTGATTACACAAGTTTACTTTACAGAAGATAAATCTTATTGGTTGCTTCTTATATCATCGACAAAAAGTCAAACTTTGGAAGTCAAGGAATAAAAAAGTGCGGTTTACCGAAAAAGTCTTTAGTTTAACTGATTTAGCTGGAATACGAGAGTCAATTTCGTAAATAACTGTTCCATCAATCAAAATCCTGGAGGTTAAATGTGAAGGAGAGTCAATAAATCCTTAAAATAAATGTAGTCACGTTAACTGAAGTCTTCAAATATCGATTTTTACTATGTTCAGATGACATCCACAAAGCTCAGTATCTTGACAAATAGCCAGTGGCTTTACAAATTTGGTCCTACATTTAGGTTGGATAATACAACACACAAGAGAAGTGATCGCTTACTTAGAGATGATAACGCGATAATTATCAGAATCATCAGCATCACTATCTCCAAAAGTGGAAGAGACCGGAGATTCAATTGTTTTAGTGGTTTTACTGACTTCCCGTTGAACAGATTTCGTGTTTGCTGAAAGAGTAAGCAGAATACATAGTAAAAATCTCCGTCACATGGAAAAAATATTATCAAAAGTTAGTACCTAAAACGTTTACAGTGTATCAGTTTCCAAGTACACAGTTCAACCAAATATAACTATCCCACCCGTGAACGAATCTACTAAGAAAGTACCAATAAACGTTTCCCATTTAAATAGAGAACTAAGCTTTTGATCCAGTAAATGAAGGTTTGTAAACCCGACCACTCGAGAATCCATTAGAGTACTGACTGCAGTTAAGATGAAAATAATGTGTGTATACATCTGCGCCACTGACTTCGGTTCTCAGCCATGTGACCACCTAGAGTCAGTCTCTAACCACTGGATCCTCTTGTCCTGTGGACCCCAGCCGGCTAGTTTGCATCATCTCACATTGCTCAAACCAACAATCGAAGACTTCATGCATTGGTGCCATGTCTTAATCTGGCCGCTCGGAACCTTTTTCGAGAGCTGTCATTTAACGTGATGTAACTAGCTAACGCAAAGTTCAACACAGTATAAAGTCAAGGAAAAGGAGTTAACTAATTAGAGGACAATAAAACAGTTCAATGTTGCTCATAGTCTATACCAGTTACAAGATGGCACGATATGCGAAATGTAGCTGTAGTTCAAGGTTCAAAGAGAAAAAATGACAAGTTCAGGGATTCAACTTGTCACACTTTTTGAGAAGCACAGAAACAAAATGAGCACAATGAAGACGACAATGAAGTTAATCAGGAGATATAAATAATACTGGTCTGATGCTGGTTGAGTAAAGCTAACAGCAGCTGCAGGTCAAAATCATTTACTACTTGATAAGGAGTTATTTTACTTTAGAACTTGACATCTAATGACTATAATCAAGTTGATATTTGTGCTACTTGGGCATATCTAGTCGCAATTTGCTGAAACACAAAATATTTACTGAGGAAAAGTTAAACTACAGCCTGGTTGATTCACTTTAGTCAAATCATCATTATCAACATAGGACCAGGCATTACTGCGTAACGGTCCGAGTTGCCACACCTCATATCAGCACATCAAGTAAAAAGGTAGTGAGGTGAAGGATGAAGATAAGTGAATGCAGTCAAAAGAAATATAAAGTACGAGAAGAAAGGAAAGAGGAGTGACAAAATAGTGAGATTCGGTATAGCGTTGTTAAGATGAGGATAATGTGTGTATACATCTGCGCCACTGACTTCGGTTCTGAGCCATATCACCTAGGGTCTCCAACCACTGGTTCCTCTTGTCCCGTGGACCCCAACCACCTAGTCTGCATCGTCCTACATGGCTTAAACCAACAGTCAGAGACTTCATACATTGGTGCCATGTTTTAGTCTGGCCACCTCGGGCCTTTTTCCAGCCTGAACCCACCTCAGCCAACATTGTGTGACGAGGCAATCGGTGACTAGGCATACGTAGTACGTGTCCCAACCATCTCAGTCGATGAAGGTTCACAACCTCGTCGACTGACTTACCTCTTCTCCCTAAAACTCTACACCTAACTTCTGCATTACTCACATGGTGACACCACGGAATACGTCCTATACTACGAAGGCAACGGTGGTCAAATACCTGTAACCTTTTTTTATCCTCCACTTTCAATGGCCATGTTTCACAGCCATACAGTAGAACAGAGCGGACTGCTGTGCAGTACACGCGACCCTTAATAGACAAACGAATATCACGGCGGCGCCATAGGTGGCGCAAATTGGCAAAAGCCAATCGAGCCTTTTGTATCCGTGCAGAAATCTCATCGGCAACTAACCCACCGGGTTGATCCTACTTCCCAGGTAAGTGAAGTGGTCAACACACTCAACCACTTCACTCTCTATTGTTAACCGCGGTACCGCTGAAGACCAGTCCTGGAGCAAAAATTTGCATTTGGGTGGTGAAAATCGCATCCCAAACATTCTCAAATTCCCACTCAAAGTGTTCAGAAGACTCTGCATCTTGTCAGCGTCTTCACCTAACAGGACTATGTCATCTGCATATTCTAGATCTAAGGAAAATTCACCTGTGATCGGTCAACGTCTTGTAATTAGGTGACGAGAGGGAAACCTCCATAAGAATATCTATGATAAAATTAAATAAGAATGGGGATAGTGGGCATCCTTGACGGACACCACTTGATGAGTATAGCTCCCTGGACAACTCACCATAGGCTCTAACATGCCCACAAGTGTTCGAGTAGAGAGCTTTCAATAAGGTGATGTACTTACTAGGCACGCCTTTCAGTGACAGACACTGCCATAAGACTTCTCGATCAACGGAGTCAAATGCCGCCTTCAGGTCGAGAAATACAGCTATTGTCGGGCGTCTGTAAGCATGCCTATGTTCCAGGACCTGGCGCAGTGTGAATATTTGGTCGATACATCCACGGCCAGGTCTAAAGCCTGCCTGGTTTTCTCGGGCTTGCTGTTCCCGAGCTCCACTCAGGCGTCGGAGAATTATAGAACTTAGGATCTTAGACACTATGTTTGTCAGGCTGATTCCTCTGTGGTTATCACAAGAGGACTTCTCGCCTTTCTTGAAGACTGGGATGATGAGTGACTTAGACCAGTCGGAGGGGATCGTATTTGATTCCCATATACTGGCTAACACTTCCGTTAGCCTGACTAAGAGAACTCTACCACCATTCTTGTATACCTCAGCAGGTAGTCCGTCTGGTCCTGCTGCCCTTCCCCGTTTCAGGCTACCTACCGCTTTCTCAACTTCTTCTAGTGTTGGGGGACCTGTCTCTATGTCCCATTCAGGGTCCGACTGGATAGCGGGCAGCGCAATGGTGGCTGGAGGCCAGTTAAACTGTTCCTCAAAGTGTTCTGCCCATCGTCCCAGTCGCCTTCCCTGCGAGTGAATCGCCGATCCGTCCTTCTCCGCTATAACCTCACTAACTGTTGTTGACCATTTCCCCCCAGTCTCCTTAATAAGTCTAAATAACTGTCTACTGTTACCGATCGCCGCTGCCTTTTCCATCTCTTTAGCCTTCGCTGCCCACCACTGTTCACGATCGTTGCGCAGACTTTTCGTCAGTTTATTTTTAAGTTGCGCTCGCTCTTCATTGTACTCAGAGCCTGCAGGGATGCATTCACGTGCATCCATTAGTTTGGAAGAAGCTGCTGATATCCACTGGCTCTTTTTAGCCATTATCTTGGAGTCGGCTACAGTCTCCAGTGCTGCTTTTACAGTAGACTGAAGATGGCACCAAGCTTCTTCTGGATGAGTGACAGTCTTTTGTTCCGATAACTGCCTAGCCAACTTCTCACTGAACACGGCTTTGGTGTTTTCGTTGTCCAGCAGAACTCGTAGTGGTTTTGTTGCCAAATTTTTTCTACGTCCATTGAGACGCAGGCATATACGTGCTCGGACCAACGCATGATCGCTGTCCAAACACGTACTCCAGAAGGAGCGGCAGTCTTCCACCGATCCTCTCCAGCGATGACTAATAGCAATGTGGTCTATCTGTGTCCATCGCTGAGTCGAGCTCGGTGGACGCCAGGTCAGACAGTGCCTTTCTTTATGTCTGAAATTTGTGCTGGCTAAAAATAGGCGGTTATCTGAGCATAGTTGTAATAGGCGATCACCGTTATCTGTACGTTCAGCTGGGATTCCGAAAGTGCCACCTAAGTGCCTTTCTGCCTCACTCAGTCTACCCACCTGTGCGTTGAGGTCACCTGCAACAACCACTACGTCCGAACGTTTGGCTTTCGAGAGGAGGTTAGACAGTTTATGGTAGAACTCGTCCTTCACTTCATCCGAACTACAGTCAGTGGGTGCGTAAGCAGAGATTACAAAGAGACAACGGCGAGTCTCACTATTCCTTTTAGTTCTCACTGTGCCGTTCAGCCTCATAGCGCAGAGGCGACTATCAACTGGGATCCAGTCTAGTAGTGAGTTTTCTGCCCTGGTGCTTAATGCTATACCTACACCTGCAAGACCACGAGAGCTAGCTATCGAATCTCCAGAAACTCGAAGGGTGAATTTTGCAGATTCACCAGATTGGTCAGGTGAATAACCACACTTGGGTCCTGTATGCGTGTCTCACAAACACAGCACACATCCATGCCCGAGTTGCTAGAGTCTTTGCCAACGAAGCCTGTTGGCCAATTTGACGGAGGGTGCGGACATTGAAGGCTCCAATATGTAATTTGGAGCGTGGTTTAAGGAGACCAGGGATGCTGTTCTGTGGACTCAGATCGTTGTCGAAGGCTGCAGAGGTAGGAGAAATTGAAGATGATGCAGCATCATTAATTAAGAGACGTGAAGGAAGATTAGAAGGTAATGATGGAGGAGGAGGATAGCAGTCAGAAGAAACTTGGGTGCTGACAGAGTTGTGAGGGCGGTTGACACTTCCCGGCTGCCCACACCGTGGAAGGCTATTTCTTCTTAAGGTACCTGAAAGAGATTTGTGTGACCGCAGAGCCCATCGGACATCTGCTTGAGGCCTGTCACACCCAGCCTTTTGAGTATGATTATTTTGAACTTTTGTATTAGTCAAAATACATACAACACATACTAGCTGTGATTCACCATATTATCAACAACTTACGAACTGATATCGGAAGTAACTATCACACTACTACATAAAAACTGAATGGATGCATATACCTTTCTGCTTGAGGGAGGCGAGAATCTTTTGTGTTTTTGGTGTTGTTCCCTTAGGCATCTTAACAACATATTTCCCCTCAACTTCAGGATTCATCCGGCGAGACACTGGAACTAAAACATCAACATCTGGTATATAAATTAAGTAAAATTTAATCAAATACTTTTGGGGGTTGGCTTCTTATCTTCAAATGAACATTCCTTGGATGTAGTTGACGTAACAACAGGAGCAGGCGTAACTGACAACTTGCACTCAGTAACTTGGTGGTGAAAAATGATTTACCTCGTGTCTTATCTTTTTACATTGCTTCAGTATGGAGATAATATCACCAATGACTGTGATTCCCATATCTTTAAGGTGGTCTTTGTCCAAATCAGCGAGTACTGTATTGCTAATACGATGTTCCACGAAAATTCCAGCATATGTTTCTCTGACTTTGGCCGGAACACCAGCTGCTTCAAAAAACTCAATCCATTTGCACAAATCTGAAAGAAATTAATATGAGATATTAAACAGGAGTCAAAACAAATAGCTATCCAAACCTTACATGAATTCTCAACTCAGCGCAGTTATGTGATAAAAATATCAGTAGTTAGTGTTCTTTTAACCTGGTTATCATGTTCCCATTGCATTTCTTACTTTTCTGACTACACAGATTTCCAATTAATGCAGTTCTAGACGGATATGGGACTGTGATCTGCGAAGAAACTGAAACTGACGGATCCAATACTGAGAGTGCTGCCGCATCCCAGTCCAATTGGAATGCCAATGATGTTTTCATTGCCTAGTTCCTCTTTATTATATCTGAATCTGTACTTCAACTACATATGTGAATCTATGTAGGAATTTCAACTAATGGACCATAGAATGCATTCCTGCTTTATTTAGAAAGGTCTTTTCAGTCAGAGAGCATTACTAGTTGTCACAAAATGGGTATGACTGCCTACCCAGCATATGAAATTGCACGCCGTTGACACTCAAATAAGGCTGGTTCCCCAACCGTAGCTTTTCCGATTTTGAAGTTTTTTTGAAAATATATTGACATTCCGACTATTGCAGGTGTTGAAAATATGTTTGTATATATAAAATTACGCAAAGCAACGCTAATTTAGTCGGAGGAACCGCATAACATCATACGTCCCTACAGACTCATCGTATTTCTTCACATGAAAGTGGTATTTGACTCTGCCGACTGATAGGTATCGTGGCAGTGTTTAACTATAAAGGGAATACCCAGCACGGATGCAACGTCAACCACAGATATCTACTCGGACTCAAGGAACCATGGAAGATCTTGTGCAAAGTTGCCATCAGAATCAGCGATAACTATTGGTGCCCAACAGAGATACCAACTGTAACCGATCCTTTCCAACTTCGTAAAAGATATATTTATGAAAGTATGCATGGGTACTTCTGTCTTCAAAGATATCTACCTACTCCCCTGAGGTCATCTGGATGACTCAGAGTGCTAAAACGACATTATCCCATTAGGTGAAGATAGTGACGGAATACGGTCTTCTGAAAGCGTTGAGCATAGACTAGCACGCATGGGGCGGGTTTCATACTTGCCAAAAGTAAGATGATGTTTTTATACTGATCTGAAGCTGCTCCCAGATTAAGGAAAGGGAGTTGGGCGGTAAGATGCGTTGTATTATTCATCATTTTCCTTTAGGTTCCTAGTGGAACATACGGCTTCGGTACCACGCCCACATTCCACTCTCTTCTCTCCTGTCTTATTCACCCAGCACCACCACTGCACACAAGCTTTCATTTCTTCCTCACACCATCTCCTCCATGTCACCCTCACCTCGGATGCCCAACTCCTCGTTTCCCCTTTGCATTCCACTCAATGGTCTGACGTGGTCCGGCCTGGACTGGCCTGGCCTGTCATGTTATGTCCCCAATCACCCTTCTCAGTGTATGCCAAATCCAATCCATCTCAACTTTCTCCTTCTACATGTTTGTTGGGTGATAGGTTCCTGATTGGTTTGTCACCAGACAGCCATTGTTCCCTGTTGCTTATTCTTATTATTCTGCTGGCCATCCATCTGATCTCCAGTATCGAGTGAGTGGGTGTAGGCGGTAGCTGTTGATGTATGATGTGTGTAGTTTGTTGAAAGTGGTTTTGGTGACGCGTCAAGTTTCTCAACCATCACATGGAAGCACTGACTTACTTGAATGACATTGGTGTTGAAAACCTGGATGTTGTTCACGCTTTGTGCTGAGTGGATTGGAGTGTAGTAGATCTCCACACTGATTTCAGATGGATGGAGGAAGGTATGTGTTGCTTGCTGTTCCGATCCTGTGTGCTCTGACATCCTCATCTGTACGTGTGCCACCTGTAGTTGAAAGGATGCTGCCTAGGAGGGTTAGTGAAAGAGATTACTTCCTTTAGGTTTCCTCCAATAATGGTGATTGGTGCCTCTTGTTATTGATGCTGTTATTTGTTGGGTATCTTCATTACCTTTGTCTTCTCTACATTCACTTGGAGTCCTGTCTTCCCTGGCTGCCCTGCCTCTTCTGTTAACTTGTTAGTTTTCGTCTGTAGATCTTTGAGTTTGTGCGACAAGACATTACACATTAATCCTCATCGGCGACGAAATCTAAATCTTTTGGTGTCTTTTCGTCGGTCAAACAGCGTATGCCCATCTTCTCGATCCTCACAGTTTGCTGCATGATCCAGTCGACCACAATGAGGAAGATCATGGATGATAGTAGGCACCTTTGTGCTACTCCTTACCGTCTTCACTTCAAAGGCATCACTGAGCTTTCCATTGTGGATCATTTGGCAAGTGGCGTCTTCATATAGCTGTTGAATGAGGTTGATAAAGGTTTGTGGCACTAAAACCGTAGTGTTGAGGCAGTTACCAAATAACTTCTCGATCGACGATTTCGAAGGCCTTTTCAAAGTCGACAAAGTTGAGGTAGAGAGTTGACTGCCGCTCTATACTCTGTCGTTTGATGATGTGTAGCGTTGCAATTTGATCCGCACCTGATTTGTTCTTCCTGAAGCCAACCTGTTCCGGTCGTAATTTTGAATGCAGCTCATCCTTTAGTCTCTCCAGGATGATGCAGCATAATATTTTGCTTGGGGTGGACAGGAGCGTGATTCCTCGCCAGTAAATGCAAAGGCTTAGGTCTCCCTTATTTGGGCGTTTGACAAGATAGCCCTTCTTCCAATCAATGGGCAGGTACCCTTCCTTCCTTTTAAACCTTCTGCAGTAGTTGCGTGAGCATGTCCACTGTTGTCTCTGCGTCTGTTTTCAGTGCTTCTGGCGGAAGGGTGCGTTGACCTCTCCCATAACCAAGGGCGTTGCATCAGACATGGTCGTTGGGGGTAGAAGGAATGAAGAGATTACAAGCTTTCGACTGCAGGTGTTTTTGTAGCACTGATCACGCATACTGAAATCACCGTGAAGGCTACTAGGTGAATTGGTTGGCCTGCACATGCGTTGCATATGCCCAGCAACCACCTACCTCGAAGAGCAGTATTAGTAGAGGTAGGATTAGGTTGGAACAGCGTTTAGGGTTGACAAACCAAATCGTGGTTAAAGTCGATGAAGTTCCTGACTCACGGTCTGAGCTGTTTATAGACGTGTAACTTTCCTGACTGGGGTCCCCGAGACTATAGAAGTCAGTGCCTGAAGACCATTGATGGCACAGCCTAAAATCAGTCACGATGGTGCAGAGGTATTAACCCTGTGAAGCCTTCTAAATCTCAAACATTTTCACTTACTCTGATTTTCAAACTCCTTCTTCTTTCACACACCTTTGTCCACTTCTATTTTGCAATCTGCTGTGGTGTGGCAACTTGAACCGAAGTACTTTTATGCGACGTTCTACCTTGATTTTGTCTATCTACCTGTCTTATACAATAAGTGTGGCTCCTACCTTAGCACATGAAAATGTATACAACAGTCGAATTCTAACCGAGTTCTGAGTGGCCAAAGTGGTTTCCTATTCAAAAATCAGTGTACTATCTGTCTAAAGACTAACGCTGCGAACACCTGTGAATGACAACAGAGTGAAATAACTAGACAAATTACTGGACCAACCCTGGTGGGTTAGTGATGAACGATATCTTGGCATAGACACCAAACATGTATCAGCGAAGAAATATTTCTTCTCAAACAAAAGAAATATTTCTTCGCTGATACATTCCCTTTCTTTATTTACCAAGATACAAAAAGTTCGAACAGCAACTTGGAGCGCTGTGGAGTATTGGTTGGTCCTATGTTGATATTGATTAGTTAAACGGCTGTTGCCTACTTACAATAACTAAGGTGCGTAGATATCAATAGATAGTTGCAAACAAATGGTCCTTCAAACAGTTATTCTTACTCCAAAGATATGGTTCCTACATGTGGATGACACATCTTCAGTACTGAAATTGAAACACATCAATGGGTTCTTGACACATAAATTCAATGATGAATGCAATCCAATTAACTCATGACTTAGAAAGTGATTAAGGTGAGCTAGCAATGCTGGGTTGCTACAAGATGGAAACTTACAGACTAGGTGTCTGCGGGAAACCCTATTCGAATCGCTACTTTGACTTAAAATCATCCCACCCATCTCAGTTAAAGCTTAGTTAAGTACCTCAATAATTAGACAAAAAAGCTTACTAGTAGGACAGAAAATCTGTGACAAGAATAACTTGCATTTTTATAACCCACCTAAATTTATGAGAAGTTCAAATTTAACGAAAGATATGGAGAGTAGTACTAAAACACGTGTCAATTACTCTACCAATGATAGTAGTAATGGTGACAGGAAACGGGGTGGTATCATGCAGGCATTCCGCATCCTTATTATTGACTTTGGTATTGATGTCCCATGTTTTCTCTTCTGCTAAGACTGACTATCTCTGAGGGCATTACAAGAAAATCCAAAATCTGCAATCACACCAACTTAGTACACATTTGCGTTTCTCCCATCGTGTGGTCAACAAATAGGAGGCCCTACCTCAGCAAGTAGTATCAGAACCTTCTACCAACGCGTCTAAGGAGAAACTAGGTCTTAGCAGAGATATATTCTGCAAGAATCAACACAGGCTAACTGGCCTACTATCCTTATAACTGAATTCTCAATGAGGCTGAGATTAGTGGGAATTGAACAAGAAAACTCGCCTAAGAACAAGCTTCACAGGTTAAATATTCTACTGACTCAATTAGGCAATATAATTCAGTTTATCAAATCCCTTGCAATAATTACAAGATTAAAAACATAGGACACATTAGTCAACTGGGGTCAACTGGAATAACAGAGTTACCTGATCTGAAGATGGACAATAAATTATGCCCGAAACGTTACGCAGTAAATAATACTGTTCCACGGTGTGACATTTCTCATAAAAAGACTGAAAAGGAATTGCATCGTTGAATAAATATGCTAAAGCAAATGATGGAAAGCAGTTTCAGACTAAGAAGACATCACGTAAAGTTCACGAATAAGCTCATTATAAACTTATTATATACCTAAGTCCAACTACTTAAGAGACAGAAATACATTGAAAATGAAAAGATAAATGCAAAAGGATGTACCGCATACCTTTCATTTTTAGCGGCTAACTAAAACAAACATGTGTTATTTAATTATTACCAGTTGGTTGGACTATTGTGAAGGGAAATGTAAGAGCTAAGTTTAAATAGATCTCCCAGTTATTCTGTTTTCAGCGGGAACTTTAAATCTGTGGATAGACGGTGGCTGTGAGTTACAAATTTAAGTTCATTTTCTGCACCCACTTTTGTTTACTTCATGAAACTATATGACGCAAACTTATAGTAGATCAAAATTAGTAACTCTTTTCATAAACTATAATGAATGTTTAGTGGTCACAACATGCGCTTAAATCATAAATGCCGAATCTCGTTCTCTTAATATACGCGTGCAGCTACCTCTCCTGCATTCACAATAAGCTACTTTTAATTTAACCTAGTTTAAATGAGTACTTATTCGAGCTATGATGTAGTTCTCCGTATACACGGTCTGTTCATACACGTGATATGCACCACATTCAGTTTTCTCTGTCGGTTTTTTCTGGAGATGTTGACTTCAAATATGAAATTCATTCATCTTCAGTTCGAACAACAGACTCTGTAAATCCGTGCTGTAATTATCTTGATGAGGATATAGTTGCTATAATCCATCATGGTGTCGCGTTCCATTCAAGTACCATGGTTAACTACCTCGATTCCTCGACAGTAGAAACACATTACGCTGACTCAGCTTTTGTTTCAGCGATTTCTTCCAGTTTCTTAGGGGCTTACCGCAGAAAGAACCAACCTGAAACGTCGAAACACAAGTGAGTCAGTTCAATTTGCCACACTTCACAGTAGTATACAAAGAACAGATGGTTGGAAAAATTAATACCAAAGTGGACAAAGCTGTGTGAGAAGAAAGGGAATTTAAAAATGAGTGTTAGTGTAACCGTTGAGTCTTTAGAAGACGTCAAAGAGCGAATACATCTGCTCCACTGTGGCATATTTTCACTCATCACCAAGAGTCCTCAACCACTGATCCCTATCTTCTCAAGGAGCTCAACCAGGGAGTCTACATCTCCTCACACGGCTCAGTCTAGCAGTAAGAGACTTCGTCGACTGGTGCCAGATCTTAGTCTAACCATTCTGAACCCTCTTCACCTAACATGGTACTTCGAGGTAGGGAGTGGCATGCGCAGTACATGTCTAAGTCATTTCAGTCGACTAAGGTTCACAACCTCATCCATCCACTTGCATTTCTTGCTTAATGCCCTTCGTCTGACACCAACATTGCTCACACGGTGATCCCACCACACGTGAGCAATGCTACGAAAACATCCATTATCAAAACCCTGTAACTGCTTCATGTCTTCTACTTTTAACGCCAATACCTCACAGACGCACAACTTGATGGAAGGGGCTGCATCGTAGTATACTCGTCCTTTCATAGGTAATCGGATATCTTGCCAGTAGATACCACAGATGACGCAGGTTGGTGAATGCAAAAAATACGGTTTGTATCCGATCTGAGATTTCGTTAACAACCAACCCGTTAGGGCTGATGCAAGTGCTCAAGTAAGTGAAGTAGTCGACACTTCCTACTACTTCACTCCCTCATCACTAAAATGCGGGTAGTTGCAGATCGTTTCTGGAGCATCATCTTGTATTTGACAGGTGCGAAACTTATGCCAATCATACTCAGATTTCTGCGCAAGACCCTGCATTTTGTTAGCGTTTTCACCTAACAAGACAATGTCGTTTTGCATACTCCAAGTCAACTAGATGACCTCCAGGGAGTAGATCAATCCCTGTGAGGTCAGACGTACCTAAGATTGTTCATTAGTACGTCTGTAACGAAGTTAAACAGTATCGATGACGGTGGGCTTCCCTGGCGGACATCATTAGTTGTTGTCAGTTCTGATGACACTTCTCCTCGAGCCATCACACGGGTTCACTAATTCGAGGAGAGAACTTTGATGGGCGTTATATACTTGTTTGGTACTCCTTTCCCAGTCAAACACTGCCACAGTACCCCACGCTCTACATTGTCAAATCAGGTCAGGTCAAGAAATATGGCAGGTGTCGGCCACTGATAGGTATGCTTGTGTTCCACAGCCTGTTAAAGAGTGTAGGTTTTACCGATGCATCCTTGTACATGTCCAAAACTTTTCTGGCTTTCTCAAGTTTGCCGTTCTCACTCTCCAGCCAGGCGTCATATAATTATGGACCCCAGGATCTTGGGTATGATAGCCGTCAGGTTTATTTACCTATCTTTGTCATAAAAAGACCTTTTCCTTTTTTATAAGCTAGAAGGGTCAGTGACGTAGACCAGTATGACGGCAGCACATCTCATGTTCCCAGCTCACTACCTCCGTTAGTTTAGTCATTCGTCTCCTACTGTCAACCTTGAAAACTTCCCATGGCAAACGGTCGGGTTCTAATGCTTTGCATATTTCCAGGTTCGATACAGCCTTCTTAATTTCAAGGAGAGTTAGTGGACTGGCATTTGCGTCCGACTCAGGTTCAGGCTGGATGTTAGCAACTGAGACGTTGCTGTGAGTGAGTTGGACTGTGCTCCATAGTGTTCTGGCCTCATGTCCTGAGTTGTTATCAGCTTTTTATCTTTTTTCAGTGGTGGTTTCACTCACTTTTTTTATTGCCCGTATCCTTAATGCGGTTGACTATATGACATTATCTCGACGTTTAACTTTTGTAGCAAAATTGACAGCTTCCGATAGAAATAATCCTATATATCATCAGGACTGCAGTCCATGGGTGCATAGACGGAGATTATCAATAGGCATCGGCTATCCGAGTAATACTTGGGCACTGTGGTTATCAGCGTCCCCTCCTTTTCGGTGGTGGTTTCGCTCATCATCTTTTTGCCAGTATCCTTAATAAGTTTCTATAGTTGCCATTTGTTACCCAATGAATTCTCTATCTCTCTCACTTTCGCTACCCACCACTGCTCGCGATCGACGCGAAGACTGTTGGACAACCTAAGTTTAAGTTCCTTTCGCTTCTAATCGTGGTCGGAGCCGGCTAGAATCAGTCTTCTGGCATCAATCGGTTCAGATGACGTCACAGAAATTCAATGACGTTTGTTAACCTTCGAGTGTAGGTTAACAGTTATCTTTACCTCTGTTTCTACAGCAGACCTAATATCACGCCAGGTTTCCTCAGGGTGAGCATTGCTGTCATGTTCAGATAAATGCTTGGCTACCGCTTCCCTAAGTGCAGACTTGACATTTTCATCTTCCAATCGACTGTAGACAGGCTTTACTGTCGTCTGCTACCAGTAAGGCTCACACATACACGAGCCCTTACTCTCGCGTGATCAGAGTACTTATTCGAACTCCGATCACACGTATGTGTTTCACCCTACTGGTTGCGGAAAATAGGTAACCATAAAGCCTGTGCGTGGCTAGTTGTCAGATGAAAACGCCAAGGATGTATTTATAAAAATAGCTAAGCATTTATCTGAACTTGTCACCAATTCTCATCCTGATGAAGCCCGATGTAATATTCAATCTACTATGGAAACAGCAGTGAAGACGGTAAACTACACCCAGAGGTTCAGAATGCACGCCGCAACTATATTTACGTTTGTGCAGTCGGCAATAAGCCATCGTTCAGTTGAGGTTCGTGATGACCACATTAGACAATGCTTCTCTGTACGTCTGAAGCGCGTGCTGGCCACAAATATGTTCTCTCAGCACAGTTGTAGTAAGCAATCGCCGTTATCCGTTCGTTCGGTTGGAATTCCGAAAGTGCCTTTCTTTCTGGTTTAGCCTCTTCGCTTGTGTGTATGGTAACTAATATCTGTACGTCTGACATAGTAGGGAGTTAAACATTTTTCGGTAAAACTCATTTTAACTGCATTTGGTGTATGCATAAGCAACAAATGCAATAAGCCTGTTTGTCATTCGCCAACCTGCATCACATGTGGCGCTTTTGAGATATCTGACTACCTATTAGAGGAGGAGTATACTGCGCTCCAGTTCGTTCTGTCTTACCGTGAGACATGGTCGTTGGAAGTAGGAGGTGAAGGGATAACAAGCCTTCGACTATAGTTCTCTTTGTAGCATTGCTCACGTATGCTGGAATCACCATGTGATCAATGTCAAGGTTAAGCGAATATTTTGGGGAGGTTCTAGCCTTCAGCTATAGAAGTGACTTGCATATGTGTTGCTGAGGAAATACTTTCCTCGACATAGAGTGTTAACATAAGAGGGATTAGGTTGGAAGACGCCTCACGGTTCCCAGACTAAGATGGTTTACCAGTCAATGAAGTCTCTAACTACTGGTCTGAACTGTAGAGAAAAATGTAGACTACTTGACTCGGGTCCCACTATCTAGCAGGTCCCTCTGGCATGACAAGTTGAGAAACAGTTGTTTCAACCAAAATAACTCATCGGTCATTGTGTATGGAGAAACAGTAAATAAATAAGGACACTAAGACTTTATTTTTCTGCTAACCGAATTTTTCTGTGCTATCCACACAAAGATGACGAACAGCTCTCCAACTGTCATAGGCAATTGGGATTTCATGCACTGTGTTGGAATTTTCTGTCCATAAATCAACTATTAATTACCTCTAAGTTGCTTACATCATTATGAACTGATTATAATTTATTTTATCTTATAGCATGCATTTATTAGCCACTTAATATTCTGTGGAGGATTCACAATCGAATTTTGATCATAAATTAATGGAAGGTGGTCAACCAGTTGCGGAAGTCTGTTCATACTCACCTAATAAATGTGCCGAAGTAATTAACGGCAGCATGCACTCAAGTTCAACATCGGATTCGGACTATGAATATCGTAAAAGAAATAGTTACTGTCTTAGCTGCCAAAGGAGACCTAAAGCTTCGTTAAAGTTCATCTTAACTATATGGTACTCTCCAGAAACAAGCTCAGCTATAGCTGGTAAGTGTTTCCATTTGTCACAAAATATATAATATACATACATACATACATACATACATACATACATACATACATACATACATACATACATACATACATACATACATACATACATACATACATACATACATACATACATACATACATACATACATACATACATACATACATACATACATACATACATACATACATACATACATACATACATACATACATACATACATACATACATACATACATACATACATACATACATACATACATACATACATACATACATACATACATACATACATACATACATACATACATACATACATACATACATACATACATACATACATACATACATACATACATACATACATACATACATACATACATACATACATACATACATACATACATACATACATACATACATACATACATACATACATACATACATACATACATACATACATACATACATACATACATACATACATACATACATACATACATACATACATACATACATACATACATACATACATACATACATACATACATACATACATACATACATACATACATACATACATACATACATACATACATACATACATACATACATACATACATACATACATACATACATACATACATACATACATACATACATACATACATACATACATACATACATACATACATACATACATACATACATACATACATACATACATACATACATACATACATACATACATACATACATACATACATACATACATACATACATACATACATACATACATACATACATACATACATACATACATGCATACATGCATACATGCATACATGCATACATGCATACATACATACATACATACATACATACATAATGAGCCTTTATTTTGTATTATTACTTGGATGGATTCGATTTGCTTAACAGCTAGAGCTAAACCCCTGCTAATCACAAAGCATCTCGTCACTGGCATGCGACTTACTAGTTAAATCCCGTCGGTCATTATATATTGATCTCATTTGTTTAAGGAGTCGTTTTTAGTCCTAAATTTTGCAACTGTAACACTTCAGACATTAGCTCTGGTCGACATAGGTCCAATTCATGTAGAGAGCCTCGAATTTCTAGACATTTTCAATAGACTTCTCTTATGGTTGCCAACAGTGAGGTAAGTTGAGTTAAGAGTTGATTCTTCCTACCTTGCCAACAAAAATAAATGCTTGAGTGTCTGCATAGGTTTTTTCTATCTTACATCTTACTCATTCCTGATAATACAGTTTATTTTAAAATACTTATTTTCTAGAATCTATGTCATCTGCGTATACCGAAGTGCAGTTACAGGAAATTGTGTCCAGTTCAACCAAAGATATATTACAATTAGCTGAGAAACACTTTGCCGACCTTAGAATATAGTATTTTTCTCTTTCCCCTTTTCTTGTCTTCAATTTATCTGTCATCTTTTCTTTTCACACTAGAGTTTTGTGTTCTCATCTTTGCCAAAAATCAAAAGTTCGTTCCAATCAACTCACCACAAAATTGTATATTTTGTTAATTATGCACGTATTTTTTCGTTTGTGTACTGGGCGATGAACGTCTGTGCGCGTTTATGTGTACATAGATTATATCCACCCACATTAATAATTCAGATAACAGTGATACAAACGATTCAGAATGTCAACAACCATAAATACATCTCTTGTTCATGATACATAGTAATAAAAAAGCAAAGTAATGCAGTGTAATGTAATGTTATTTATTTGTCTGATGGGTAATTTAAACACGTATTTGAGGAATGTGCATCAATGAGTGTTTTCCTTAAGTTTTGTTTATTTGGTGTCGCAGCTGATCAAAGATTTGGTTCTCTATTACGAGTTTCAATACACTGGACTCTGTTGCAATATTTGAAGTGATTTAATTCAATGTGGAATTCTCAATCTTATTTTCATCTGAAGGGTAAGAAGGTTGGTTTAAATGCTTTCATCTTAGTCAACTAAGAAGTCCTACTTGTGTAAACAGACGAGTGAGTATAACCTTACATAATTCGGTGTATGAAATAACTATTAGAGGCAAAGGAATATGTGAGTGACTGCATCCCTCAGCAATTAATTTTCGTAATTATTTTCTCTCAGATGATGTGGTTTTTAGCCACCTTGGAAAACAATTTTTGAGGATTTCATCTTTGGATTCTGAATTCACATATATCTTCGACACAGTGACTAGTTGTTGTATACGTCATTTTTCTATTAGAGGCGGAAAATATCTTTTTTGTTTTCGATTACGATGCCGTCAAAATGATGACAAGCATTTATGGATTGTGAAACAAGTAGAAAAGGTATCGACGCTAGGTTAGTACTCCACAATTGTTTCGGCTACCTGACGATTAACTAAAATTCTAGCGATGGATAGGGAAAACACTATCAAAGATGGGCTTTGAGAATACGGTAGGACATTTGGGTGGAACGTCGAAGGACTAACTTACAGCATTGCCAACTATCCAACGTCAGTTGATGTCAACCCTCCAACTTTCACTGATGTCTAAAAGACCGTTTCTTACCTAAAACTGAACAAAGTAGCTTAATCGTCAACTTCCTCCTGAAATGTTTATGGATAGTAAAAATAACGGTGGTACTGCCTGGTGTATGGGAATCAGAAGTCCTAACAAATTGATCTCGATCGTTGGGAAAGAACGGAACTTTCATTCGATAACTACAACGAAATCTGTCTGATTAAAATACTATCCATGACTATTTGACTCTTACCTGGAACTCGAGAGGAACCAAAACCCAGTTGACAAGAAAACACAATGCGTAGGTTTGCAGCATACAGTGTCCTACCTAAGGACTTTTACAGACGTCGACAAAGGACGTACGCAGCAGTATCACCTTTGAATTTGAGGTTCACTAAAAGTTTTCTTAGGAGTTAACTGAACCTGTTCCATAGTCTTCTTTTCTATTTTTGTCTATAACTCTGCGTAGATAGTCATTCTCTAGTAGTATTTCTCGGAGGGTTTCTAATTATTGAATTCGTCAAGAATGTACATCTTGATGAGAGTAAGCCCTCAAGACTCCTTTCCTACTTGAAGGTACCCGACTTTGGAAGATAGCCACCTGCCCCGTTCAAGTAAGCTTCCTGTAGATAAATCTTTGAGTGGAACTACCAAACCTGCTCTGGAGTTTGATATCGAAGAAATAAAACATTGAGTGTTATTCATCTTCCAATGTAAATTTGACTGAAGGCTAGCTGTCGTTGATGTGCTGACGGAGGCGTTTGAAGTCTAGGCTAGCATTACAAAGAGTGATGATATCTTTTATGTACATGAAGTTGATAGGTTGTCGGGGTCAATGTACAGTTCTCAAGGCTAGTCATAAAACAATCATCGAGCAGAGTTCCAAGTGGCCATCTCAATGCTACACCATCTATTTGTCCACAAATGTCACTGAATCTAAAGTTAACGTTAAGCGTAAATCTTAGAAGAAGTTCTTACAGGTAGTGGTTTCACAAGCCAATATCTAGATTTGTAGATTGGATGGAATTACACAGGGAACACATTGTTTCTGTTAACAGTCATACTGTTTCTATCTTCAACAAGAAGTGATGAGGACTGAAATTCCTAAGGAAACATCAGTTTTTCTGAGATGGAACATAAATGACGCTTATCTAGGTAATCAAATTGTTCTGATAGAATAATCTAGTATGAAATCTTCATCATTCATTGTGTATTATGCTGTTTTTGATTATTTCTGGTATGTGTGTGTGTGTTCCAGTGTTCAGAATACACACACAAGCTGTGATACACACAGAAGTAAAGTCAGTCAATGGAATGAAACTATTCAGTGTTAACAAAATTAAGCTAAACTATCAGCATGAATGAAAGCCTACCAACAGTTGTGCATGTTTATGTCCAATTAGTAATACTGCTATCTCTTTAAAATCTCAACATGATACATCAGCACCTTTTGATTAGTTTATTATTTTTGTTGTCATTTATCTACTGAGTTTCTTTGATTGGAAATTGATCAATGCAAGTATAAAATTTGAGCTTTGTGGTACAATGTAATTCTATAACTCATGAATCCATTCGATATAACTCACTGTGACATATCTAGCAAATAATACTTCCTCTATGTGTGCCACATCAAATAAACTAACCTAATATGGAATATTATTATTTTTCCGTTGGGTTCCTTGTGGAACATAGGGCTTCAGTACCACGCCCACATTCCACTCTCTTCTCTCCTGTCTTATTCACCCAGCACTACCACTGCCACAAGCTTTCATTTCTTCCTCACACCATCTCCTCCATGTCACCCTCACCTCGGATGCCCAACTCCTCGTTTCCCCTTTGCATTCCACTCAATGGTCTGACCTGGCCCGGCCTGACATGTAATGTCCCCAATCACCCTTCTCAGTGTATGCCAAATCCAATCCATCTCAACTTTCTCCTTCTACATATTTGTTGGGTGATAGGTTCCTGATTGGTTTGTCACTAGACAGCCATTGTTCCCTGTCGCTTATTCTTATTATTCTGCTGGCCATCCATCTGATCTTCAGTATCGAGTGAGTGGGTGTAGGCGGTAGCTGTTGATGTATGATGTGTGTAGTTTGTTGAAAGTGGTTTTGGTGACGCGTCAAGTTTCTCAACCATCACATGGAAGCACTGACTTACTTGAATGACATTGGTGTTGAAAACCTGGATGTTGTTCACGCTTTGTGCTGAGTGGATTGGAGTGTAGTAGATCTCCACACTCATTTCAGATTAATGAAAGCGTAATATGGAATGGGAAGAGTTTAGTTTATAGAATAAAATGAATTGACTTCATCATTTGTCAACAGTTAAAAATTACAAGGATATATGAAACACTTTAATCCGGAGAAACACTGAAGTAATCTACCAAATCGTAAAAGTCTAGAATTGATATTTATTTCAATTCTACAACAATCGGAAAGCAACTCACATGTGTTTGAAATGTTTTTCCTCCTTTCTATGGGTTCAGCAATAAGACGCTGACACTTCAAAGCGCCAAACTATGGAATTATACCCAACGTTCCTCTTATGAATACTTACACTTGACTTAGAGTGAGTTGTTGTCTGAGATAGGGTCTTAGTTGGCATCTTATCAATGGAACTGTTGCTTAATGAATTCTTTGTTGTTTCTCGTTTTCGAGGTTTTTTGTTCTTTAGGAATGATTCGAGGTCAGCCTCAGTGCATACGTTGAAACTCAGTCCTTTTTCTAACAAATCCTTCGCTAAAACTAAGGGAGTTTATGAAGATTAATTCCCTAATATATCACCACAAACTTTATTGTTCGTTGTAGCTGACAGCTTCCCCATTTTTATGGTGAGCTTCTGTTTACGCTTCTCTCCTTTTCTTTTATTTGTAACATTTATTTTGCTTTGGTCAATGTTGTGAAGTCTTTCTTCTTCCAGAATTTATTGGAGATAGTTTATTCCAACATCTGTTTTGCGCCGGTACTTCTGCAACTGGCCATGGGCCTCAGATTACTGCATGATGCATTTATCCTCCATTTTGCTGTGCTACTAACCAAGTTAGAGGTATTTTGACTGGTAGTCTCTACCTCGGACTGAATAGTACAGCACACCACCGTAAACATTTATGTAGAAAGAATAAGTGTTATCGGGTGGCAGCTTGGCTTCTTGCTAAGGTCTCCTATCGTCAAACATGTGTAAGCGCTTGGTGCTTAGGTGATCTAGAAATTGTGGCAAATATTTGTAGCTCAGAGTGAATCGTTCTCTAAGGGAGAACTAGCTCAGATAAGAAACTCACTCTTAACATCAAAATCTTGAGCTAAAAATATTCTCCACAATTTCTACATACACATTAGTCCATTTATGACTTGTAGTTGATTATACATAATAAGAGGAAAGAGAACGCATCATGCAACTTGCCTTTTAAATGATGATCATAAACTTGTCAAAAAAAAAAGTGGCAAAATGATACAGTCATCGTAAGGGATTTTGTAAACCACTGTACTCAAATTCTTAAGAAAAAGAATTTCAAGTTGGTATTCAGCGTGGACTAGAAATCAATAAAATCGTCATAAGCCTCTAAATTGAATCAGTCCAGTCCCCATTAGTGAATTGTTTCCAGATGAGATTTTTTGAAGTTCTAGTGAGAAGTCATGACCGATGAGTCGAACCATGCTGGACATGAGAACGAGTACTCGACAATAGCATTAGATGAAAGTTGCACCTTACCACGAATTAACAGAAGTAAGAAACTCTGGCTTATCCTAACTCAATGGTAACGTTCGCCGAGTCACGAAATCCGCTTCTTGTGCGACGAGTACAATTTATATGGTATAGTACAAAAAAAACTACTCGGTGGCGTAATGAATAACGTTCTGATGTTTGAAGCGATCGGTCTTGGGTTCAAATCTTAGTGGGAATAGTTGATGAGTCCAAAACGGGTCGAAACGCTTATCCTAGATTCCATTGCTAGCTACTATCCGTCATTCATATCAAGATTATTGTTTAAAAGGGTTAGATGAAGCGATTAAAAAGTGCAGTTAAACAGAATCAAAAGTGAACTATTGATAATAGCTAGTAGATTACGTAAAAAAAATAAAGGAATTACGAAGTTTAAGAGTAAAATCCTATTCTTTGGCATTAAATCACTGAAAATAAACAAATTGATGAGATGAAATCTTAATCTTTTTTTCATTGAATATTTCATGTGATTAAATATAAAAAAGCATTGATTCCAGGTGAAATTTATGATCCTAGTTTCCGTGTT